GAGCTGTTTTCGAGACTACTAAATCTTCACGGGGGTAGAAAGCCTCATCTTTCTGTGTTGGCGCAGCTGGTGGGTTCTGTTACTGTAAAATAAGGGAATGGATGCATTGGGCAAGAAGGTTCCGTCATGTGTAAAAGAGGAACAGAAGAAAGTCCTGCTCAGTAGGGTCACTGTGGAATCAGTGACAGACCGCTGCCTGTCATGTTGTGTCTGCTTTGTTTCCTCTTTCTGCTGCTTCTGTCTTCTGACCATCATTGGAGTCTTCCTTCCTAGTCTCCAGCGCATCAGGCAGGCCCGAAAGTGCACTGTTCCACCCACAGCTACGCATCTTGACTCCTCTGCTGCAGAGAAACCTCATCTACGGGTGCTCTCAGTGGTGTCCGAGACCAGATGAGGAGGGGTGGCTGCAGCAAGGAGTGAGCTAACTGGGCATTTGGGGTATGTGCAGCATTAAAATGATCAACCCTTTATAGAGTGCTGCGTGACATCGCAGAGATCATCTCATCAAAACCCTCTATCGTATGCCTTACGGGCGGAGACCCAGAGAAAGGCCGTGCTTGGCCCCCTTCCCATTGCTCCGGACTAGAAACCAGCCTTATGACGTTAAGTCTATGCTCTCCCCTCTGACCCCATGTGGTGACGCTTTCCACAACTAGACTAGAAAACGAAACCCACTGCCATCCCATCAAGTCCTACTCAGCCACCCCTTTTATTATAATTTGATATCATCGATATTATTTTATGAGAGATGGTGCCACCAACTACATTTATTCATAGTCTCTCTCTTTAAAACTCCTAATCCACTGCTGTTGTATCTATTCCAATTTATAGTGACTTGTAGGTCAGAGCAGAATTGCCCCGTAGAGTTTCCAAGGCTATAAAGATTTACAGATGTGGCAGGGGATTCCAGAGGGACTGGTGAGTTTGAACCACCAACCTGTTAGGTCAGCAGCCGAGTGCTTTAATCATTGTACAATTACGGCTCTTTATTAAGAAGGAGGTCTGTGACTGCTTAGTAGCCAGGATGGCGAGGCTCCGTCTCACCTACTTTGGGCATGTTAGCAGGAGGGACCAGCTCCTGGAGAAGGACTTCATGCTTGGTAAGGTAGTGCGTCAGCAACAAAGAGGAGATGGATTGACAGAGTGGCTGCAACAATGGGCCCAAACATAACGAGGGTGAGGATGGTGCAGGAGCAGGCAGTATTTGGTTCTGTGGGTCGGGGCTGAGGTGATGGCATCTAACAACAACAATAACTACCAGTCAGAGCGTGTCATAAACATGAAGTGCAGACTGTTGCTTCACCAAATGAAAAGGTCCTTCATGAAGAGGTGAGCTATCCTGTCTCATTGGGAGAAAAATAAAATATGTCGGGCTTTTTGAATGTTGAAATTAGCTTAGAGACCTCCGTTACTAGCTTAATAAAACGTTGTCAAGCCTTCGATTAGGAACCGCTGAAGTGTGTCCTGCTCGCCGTGCCGCGTTGCTAGCTGCCCAAGTGTGCTAAATGGTGACTGGTTGGCTTTCAAGGGCAAAAGAAAACCGACCCATTCAGACCAGGATGATACATAAGTGCTTTCAGTTCAGAGTAAATTGTGTCAGCTCTGGACGAAAGGTGTGTTCTGCATCGGGCACACTGAATGCTTTTTGTAGAATAATTGTGGAACGGAATAAAGCTTAACTCCAGGGATGGAAGAAGTAGGAAATGAAGAAGGTGGTGATAAACCACAGTGGGGGGCGAAAAAAATCCAAACCAGAGATTCTCGGTCAGTTCTGTCTTGTTTGGGGTCAATAAGGAAATGAAAAATTATTTGGATTACAAATGAAAAAGTAGAAACCCTGGGCATATTAGCACATAGACTGTTATACAGACCTGGCTGTAACCCACATGAAAATATGAAGGCTGTCTGTTTCTCTAGCATTCCACAGCTCTTAACAAATGGCTGTCATCGCTTAGAATCCTCTTTCACCACATTTAAAGGGTACTATGGGAATATCTGCTATAAAATAAAGGGCTGCAACTTGAAAGGCGTGGTGGGAGAGGGACTTCAAAAAAAAGAGAGATTCACCCCGTCACTGCCCCCCTCCCTCAGAGCAAGACACCAACTAGGAAACACATGGATGACTTGGATGTACTGTAAACAGAAAGGAGGCAGTATTTCAAAGATCAGTGCCCTGACGTGAGCAGAACCCCGAAGCAGCCAGTCCACATTGGCCAGTTCACAGTTGAGCTCCTCCTCGTGTGGTCAGCTCCCTGGGAAGTGACTGTACTTCTTTGTGTCACAGGGGCCACTGGGTCTCCAGCATTTTTTAGTTACTTGTTTAAATCACCGAAGACTTGGACATCACGCTGAAGGTTTTCATTAACTGAGTTCAGAAGCATACCATATTTGAATTTTGCTTAATCTTAGGGGTTTGGAACTGAATTCGTATTTTTTAAGTGACTTGGGTTGTTCTTTTTCTTGAGAAATACATGAGAGATGATCGCGCGGGCAATGCCATATGGAGGACAACTTGATACCGCATTGGTGAGAGGGCTTTGAGAAAGCCCTAAATTAACCTGAGCTAGATAACTCACTGCTGGAGGGCTGATGAGGACAGGCATGTGCCCTCTCCAGGGCCCCTGAGGCTGACCCCATGCGAACGTCTTGGGGCAGCCCAGGCACACACAGTCAGAGAAGCAGAGGTCTGAGAGGCATGTTCCTTTCATGTGTAATCAGCACTGAAGTCCCTGCTGAGGGAGAGATGGCTCCTGACCGACAGAACCCCCCGGATGTCAACACTCCTCATCTTGAGGTTCAGGATTCTGCCTGTTTTGTACACTGCTGCCCTCAATGTTAGGAGTCCTGGTGGCACTGCCAGGTAAAGTGTCGGACTGCTGAGTCTGTCTGCTTCCATAAAGTGTTACAGCCTTGAGAGCTATATAGAGGGCCACAGCACACCAGAATCAACTAGATGGCAGTGGGCTGGCTTTGACTCCTCATGTCTTGAAGAATACCCAGAATACCTGGAGCCAGAGAAGGAGGACAGCTCACAAAAGGAGGGTATGGATTAGGTAGCTAATTACTTCCCGGGCACGAGACCAGAAGAGCTATGTGGTGCTGGGCTCCCATTAGTGAGCATTTTCATCAGCTAGCCTATAGAAAAAATCATCAAAAGGGAGAAAGGAACAGAATTTCAAATTCTCTTGGCTTCTACATTTCTTAGAGCCAAGAAGATTGGCTGGACCTCTAACACTATTGCCCTGAGATAATCTTTAAACCTTAAGCCAAAATATTCCCTGAAGTCTTCTTAAAACTAAACAATAGTTTGACTTACTTGAAAAAAATGCAGGCCTTGAGTATTGTCTTCTTCTAAAACAGCGGTTCTCAACCTGTGGGGAATCGAACGACCCTTTCACAGGGGTCACCCGATTCATAACAGTAGCAAAATGACAGTGATGAAGTAGCAACAAAAATGATTTTATGGTTGGAGGGTTACCATAACATGAGGAACTGTATTAAAGGGTCACGGCAGTAGGGAGGTGGAGAACCACTGTTCTAAGAGCTATCTATATGGGATCAAAAGATTTGCTAGAAACAACAGGGTAGGTGAAACTGTGTCCACGGGGGGAAGTAACAACTCAGACAAGGAGGGCGAGTTGCTGCATGGGTTCAAGAATGTCATCAAGGTCACTGAACTGTTCATTAGAAACAGTTGAATTGTGTGTGTTCTATTTCAACAGCATAAAATAGTTTTTTTAATGCCTGGAACATGATAGATATGCACATGTTTTGGGGTGAATGAAAGATGCTACAAACAGGGGAAACTGTTTTCAAATATGGAACCCTGATTACGATATGAAGTCCAAGTCTGGATTTATTGTTATTATTAAGTTCTGAAATAGAGAATGAGCCTAAAGCTATATTGTGATCAAATGATATTGTAGGCACTTATCCTTAGTTCTCAGAACAGTACTGGCCTAACATTCATTTCCTAACACTGGCATATTTCTAGATTTTGAAAGGTGTTTTAGATGGACTATTCCCAAATAGTTGGTATAATCATTAGTTTCTTGAGGAAAATATTTCAGAGGGAGCCCTTGTGGCGCATTGGTTACACATTGGGCTGCTAAGCACAAAGTCAGCAGTTAGAAACCACCAGCCGCTCTGAGGGAGAGTGATGGGCTTTCTATTCCCATAAAGAGTGACAGTCTTGGAAACCCACAGGGGCAGCTCTACCTTTTCCTAGAAGGTCACCATGAGTCTGAATTGACTTGATGACTCTGTGTGTGTGTGTGTGTGTGTATGCATTGTGTGGGTGTGATGTTGAGCTGTTCACCTCAAGATCTGCAAGTTCAAACCCAAGAGCAGCTCCACAGGAGAAAGACGAGGCTGTCTGCTCCTATGAAGACTTACAGTCTCGTGAACTCTGGAGCACTTCCACTCTTCGTGCCCCCTCGGAGTTGCAATTGACTCAGCAGTAGTGAATCTGGGGGAATTGCTTAATGTTTTAAAAGTTCTTTTTTTGTGTGGTTACTTTATATGTTTACGTTTCTGTTTTGTCTTCTCGAAGACAAGATGTGGAGTGGGTTACTACCACCTGGCCTACACGAAAGTGATGTCGACTCGAATTCTGAAGACGAAGCCACCTCAGAACCGTCCGGACTTCACGGACAGGAAGCGAATGAGGAGCAGATGACTCGAAACCCTTGCACAGCCTCAGACTCACCGGCAGATGGGCCAACGACAGAAGCAGAGGCAAACATCAGTGCACGCGAAGAGTGAAAATTATTTGGATTACAAATGAAAAAGTAGAAACCCTGGGCATATTAGCACATAGACTGTTATACAGACCTGGCTGTAACCCACATGAAAATAT